AAATAAGAAGGCCTCAGACTTTATTTTCCCACAGCAGCCACACATGCTATGTGGGAAATAGCTGTTAAAACTGAGACCCAAACAAGACATGAGACAAAGCTGAATGTACCTCTCTCTCATGTTCTTCGGCGAGGCCAGCTTCACACTTTCCCCTCTAGCTTTCCCCAATGCAAAATCGCTTCCCAAATGTGTGCTCAACCCTTTCCCCATGAGCAATTTCCCCAATGCAACTTGTACTGCCCAGCAACTTTTCTCCCCAGGTAGAGAATACGGGGACTGTTTTCTGAGAAGGGGCTGTTTGGCTCCCATGGTACAGCATCTCTTTTGCATGGAGAAGGTCCTAGGTTCGAGCCCTGGCAGTTCTAGTTAAAGCATCAGATGGGAGGTGATGTGGGAGATCTCTGCCTGAAAGTTTGGATTGCTTCTGCCAGTCTGAGTAGACAATACTCACCTTGATGGACCAAGGGTCTGGTTCATTATAATGTGGTTTCCTGAATGTGTATTCTGCATATTGTCAACTAAACTTCAACAGCAAAATGAGAGTGTGCATGTTCTGGCCACCAAACTTTTCATTTTGGTTCTCCCCTTCTCAAAAAGGAACATTTTCCTGCATATCTGAGTCCCATTAGAAGAAGAGAAGAGATTGGATTTATACCCCATCCTTCACTACCCAAAGGTGTCTCAGAGCGGCTTACAAACTCCTTTCCCTTCCCCTCCCCACAACAGACACCCTGTGAGGTAGGTGGGGCTGAGAGAGCTCTTGACAGAGACTGCTCTTTTTCAAGAACAGCTCTTATCAGAATTACGGCTTGCCCAAGGCCATCCAGCCAGGTGCAAGTGGAGGAGTGGAGAATCAAACCCGGTTCTCCCAGATTAGAGTCCGCGCACTTAACCACAACTGGCTGTAGGTATGCAGAAACCACATATAATAAGATTCCCCTGACTGCAAACCTGTGGGTGCCAATGGGTTTGCAGAAATCTGTGCCCTACGCCCCGGGCACACACACCCCATTGTGTAATCTTTCAGCAAGAGAGATCTTCACAGCTTGTTGAAATTAAATATTGTGGCCAGAGTTCAATGTGTTAGATAACTTAGATCACAAATTCTAAAACACTGTTCCAAAAGTCAGTGTATGTAGTCCTAGTACACAAAAAAGCTTACTCAGTCAAATTCAGGTTAAAGTGTTACCATTGTGCCACCCAGTGGCAAAGAATAAGTTACAACTTACAACACTGTTAAAAAAAAATAAAAACATTAATGTTCAACTGAATTTCTTCACACATATACAAATGTACACATACGCACAAACTGGGAGGGATTCATCAGAACAGCATCTCATGATGTTACAATGTAATTTCTGGCTGTGTAAATGCAAGTGATGTCGCTGTGTCACAGGACACTCTAGAATTCCACATAACTCTATGGTTTTTACCATAGTGTCTTGGGGAAATCACAGAGTGTCCTGTGATGCAGTGACATCATTTCCAGTTACACTGCTGGAAACAACATTGCAAAGTTTCAGGATGCTATTCCAGCCCCCCCCCCAATTTCCCCCCCTGCTTCTCACCAGAGTGAGGGTGGGCAGCAGGGGCAGGAGTTCCTCTACCCCCAGTGACAATGCCATATCCCACGGTTGCTGGGATCAGGTAATAATTAGAGTTGACATCTTGCATAAATGTATTTCTGAGCCATACAAAGTTGGGTAAGGAGTGCAATCTAAGGGTGAATTCACATCTGTATGTGTGTAACAATCATCATAGATCAAATATCGCAGAGAGCTTTCATGATGATCATGAAGATAAGGCAGTCAGTTTGTTTAACTGCAAGCGATCGACTGCAAAATTCATTACACGATGTGTATGCCTATCTGTAATTCAGCCCAGTTTCAGCTGTCCTTTTATTCAAAGGTTCACATTTCCCTGCAATTTTTGAAACAGGCTACACTTTGCTTTCATTTCTTGGGTGCAGTGGTAAGGACAAAGCAGGAATCAGGAATGGAGATTATGGGCTAGCACTGGAGGGGAAAAACCCACTCCTATAATGATGAACTGTGACTGGCTGTCACGTCACTGATGAAGTATTAGCTCCTGGAGGACCTTTTAACTCTTATATTCTGGATACCACATTGTTCTGCGTCAAGCCTGAATCAGGTATAGGTGTGCACTTAAGAAACCCTAGGTATCTAGTTAGCTTTCCTATACTAGGCATTTAACTCCTAGCCAGAAGTACACCTCAGTAATGCTGCAGGTTTGTTCTGGGTATAAGTCACAAGAAAATACTATTAAGAGAGTCTCTGCTTCCATTCTAAGCTTGTTTATTAAAGCATAATTATTGCATTTTTAGTATAAACTAAATCCACAAAGCTTTATACCATCCATCCATTATTGCTACACAGAGAGGTCTTTCTTGTATAGTTCTTCTGTGTATTCTTGCCATCTTTTCTTACCCCCCAAATAAGCAGGTCACAGGCAAGGAGCCCCTTCTGAGAATAAACTCTCGATCAATATAACTTCCCGTATTTATAGGATTTTAAATTAATCTCCTAACAATAGCGTGATAAGAGTGCACATTCTTGGATAATTCAATATCTTATAACTTCAGACACCATACAAGATTATCTTAAAACTCGTTCATTCTTGCTACTTTTTCTCTTAACATAGCGTTACTTTTTCTCCTAACAAAGCCTATTTTAAAAAAATGATTACAAGTCTCTCATATACATAAATTTCTTTTGGTCTTCAACCAATACTGCCATCCTTGAATCATATCTTTGCTTCTGTGAAGTTGGACATCCTCGTGATTCTCAGGTGCTTCCGCACCTAGAGCTAAACAAATTGTATCTATTAATAATGGGTTAGATGGCTTCCAATCTAAACAAGGCCAAATAATTGTTTCCCTTGCTTGAAAGCCAGTCGAATCCGACTCTAGGGGGCGGAGCTCATCTCCATTTCCAAGCCAAAGAGCCAGCGCTGTCCGAAGACTTCTGGGTCTCTAGACTCCCTTGTTTACATGCTTCCCTGAGCTGCCAGGTTTGTTCTGTTTGTATGAGCTGCAACATCCTCTAACACCTTTTTGGTCAAGTCCAGCAACTGTTCCCCCATATTTCTGGCCATATTCATGATGACAAATCCCAGGAACCAGGATGACATGGTGCCTAGAAATTTAATTGTGGCACCTAGTATTTTCAGCAGTGCAAATTATTGCAAAATTTCTTGGTGATCCTCAGTAGACGTACAAAATATAACATTTTATACCATGAAGTTTTTGTCACTGCAAACTTGTATGTTAAATTTACACCATTCAAAGGTGACATAGAAATCAATTTCTTAACGGGTTGCTTTCTATGCTGATTCCAACACTCTATTAAATGTAGCTTTTAAAAGCAACAATGATATAATGAGGAACTGGGGAGAAGAAATGCTACAGTTAGAAGTTTGGTGTAGTGAATAAGTGCACAGACTGTAATCTGGGAGAACTGGGTTTGATTCCCCACTCCTCCACTTGCAGCTGCTGGATGACCTTGGGCAAGCCATAGTTCTGACAGAGCTGTTCTCTCAAGCTATTCTTGAAAGAGCTCTCTCAGACCTACCTACCTCACAGGGTGTCTGTTGTGGGGAGGGGAAGGGAAAGGAGTTTGTAAGTCGCTCTAAGACTTCAAGTGAAGGGCAGGGTATAAATCCAATCTTCTCCTCTTTTTCTTTTCCTTCTTCTTCTTCTGGTGATGACAATCAAGGTTACCCCATATTTCTTTATATCCAACACTATTGTCATTGCTTTAATAACATTATCAGAAACAGTGAAGAATTTAGGATGTAAATTTTGATGTAGCAATAATTAGAAAATGTGGTCCTTTAAATACAAAAGGCTGAAAAATGTCTCTGGCTCCTAAATTTGAGGCTGGGCTTCTAGAGCCAAAGAAAATTTGTTAAGGCCTGTTCTAGCATATTTTCAGGCTAAAACAAGTTTGATGAACTGTTTAATGGAAAGGTGCTGATGCTTGACATTCTTCTTTTTTGAATTGCATAGGCGAACCTCTGTAGCTCTAGGCTTAATAGATCCAGCAGTTACAGAACTGCAATAAGTCAATCCTTACCCCAAACTCCATAACAGTGGTAGTCACTCTGCAGCTAGCAGAGCCATATCCACAATCTACCATGAACCAAATGGAACCACATTTACTACCATCCCTCAGCATGAGGCCTGCACCTCAGGAAGCTTACTTGTTCTTCTGGTAATGGTTGTTTCAAGGAGAGATTGAACCACCTGTCAAGTACAAGCCCCACTGGGCAAAGGACCTTGCCCAATTTTCTGAAACATGGGGAGATGCAGTATTAGGGAACAGTGCTCAGAAGAGCCACATGAGGTATCACTGCTTTATAACATCTGTGCTGTTTTGGTGTATCTGAAGAAGTGTGCTTGCACACAAATAAAACTTTGTTGGTCTTAAAGGTGCCACTGTGTCGGGTAGCCCCGCCATGGGTTTTTTATTCTCCTGTCTCTGGAATGTATATTGCTCTGCAGCTGCGTTTCGCTTTTGCTCCTTATCTGCCCATTGGCCTTGAGCGCTCATCGCTCTGGCGCGAAGCCTCTGGTTCTCCCGCTCATCCCTGAACCACTGAACAGTTCCCCGCACTCTGCACTGATTGCTATTGGCTCCTAGGTGTCAGAGGGTATTGTATGAACCCACTATAATTGCTATGGCCATTTTGTATGTCTCATTCCTGACTCAAGGAGTCTAAGTCGACTTCACCTTGGTCTGGTCAATAAAGCTGAACCTATTTAAGGACCTGCTGTTGATACTGAGTTATTGAAGTACCTGACACACTGGACTCAAACTTTGTTCATCTATGCGAATGAACACTGTTTTGTTTGTATCTCTTTGCTCCAATGTTGAAAAGTCAGTGTGTTCTGTTATGGATTAGCACTACAATATTTATTACTGAACTCCCAGTGCAAATGACTCTCATGTAAGTCTATCTTCTTCAGTTTCAGGGAACCGCAAGATGGACATTACTACGGACATTCCAGATGAGGGAATGGAAACCACACCATATGACTATGATTATCTCCATACACCTTGTCCAAATGACATGGTACAACAGTTTGGTTCCAGTTTCCTGCCACCATTTTATTATTTGGTGTTCACATTTGGCCTGGTGGGCAATGCCCTAGTTGTGATGATTCTCCTGAGATACAAAAGAATCAAAAGCATGACTGATGTCTATCTGCTAAATTTAGCAATTTCAGACCTGCTCTTCATTTTCTCACTCCCATTTTGGGCATATAATGCAGCAGACCAGTGGGTATTTGGGAAAGTAATGTGCAAGATTCTCTCTGGAATTTATCTTGTAGGCTTCTACAGTGGAAGTTTTTTTATAATCCTTTTGACTGCTGACAGGTACCTGGCAATAGTCCATGCAGTGTTTGCGTTAAAAACCAGGACAGTTGTCTATGGCATCCTCACAAGTGTCATCATGTGGGGTGTGGCACTTTCCGCCTCTGTGCCAGAGATTATATTCAACACGTGTAAAATGATAGGGAGCCGCTGGAGATGCACTTCTGATTATTCATTTACAACCCAAGTCAACTGGAATCAGTTCAACACTTTAAAAACCAACCTCATCGGCCTGGTCTTACCAATAATTGTTATGGTCTTCTGCTACACAAAGATAATAATAAACCTGCTGAGATGCAGGAATG